AAATGCTGCGAAGGCACGGGCCGCTTGCGCCGGGAATGCCAAGCACCGAAGAAGCCGCCGCCGCAGGAGCCGAGCCGCGCCGCCCCGAGAGCGGAGCCGCCGCCGCAGAAACCAAGCCGCGCCGCGCCGGAAGTGAACAAAGAGCGCCGCGGGGGGAGCGACCGGAGCCGCATCGCCCTCATGTGTGAACTGGGGGCCAGATGTCCACGGGCGGCCAGTTGCTGCTTGGGAACAGTGACTGGACATCAGAGAGCAGGTGATGGAGGAGCAATCATGCTGTGCATTGATAGTTTTCGTCCTGCTGTTTAGATCGACCAACATCTTTTCTGGGCTCTGATGAGTGTCCAGCGCCATCCATTTTCAGGGCTAGTTACACACTCCTTAGCGGATTCCGACTTCAGAGTGCTTTTTCGAGCGGGAGCGTTTCTCCCTCTGCCCCGTAGCCGGCAAAAGCTACAGTTTAAGATCTAACAGCCGTAATAACTGTGACTCTTGTCAACAAAAGAAAAGATTCCTATTGCAATTAAAAGACTAGTGAAACTAAACAAACAACACCAAGGACTATTGCTGTCAGGATGTTTTTCACCTAAGTTGGTAAAGATCTTTTGTTCTCCCCAGCACAGACTGTAAAGCAGAAATCAGCGTAAAGGCCGATTTGGCTCGGCATTGGTTATGCTGTCTTGGAAACACCTGTATTACCAGAGACTTTGAACATCAGAAGCCCGGATGGCTGGGCCGGTGGAACATTAGACTTTAAAGCTGTGCTTTGAAAAGTTTAAAAATGTTGAGATGTGTTGGATTGATTGTATGAGTGAGATGTTGTGAGTGTGTTTTTGGTATAAATGCTGCAGCAAAGACGTGAGAAAGGTTGTTTTGGTTGAGTGCTTTGGAATCGGGCCCGTGAGTGAGTTATAGTGAATGCCATATATTATTTCTATGGTAAGTTTTATCTGTTATTAAGTAGTTTAAGTTGGGTTATCAATTAAGTGCCATTAAATGTTAAGGTTAAGTTTGTTGAGCTTGTTTTCGGTTGGGTTCGAGGTCTTTTAAGTTTAAATTATATATAGGTTTGAGTTGTGTGGGATTTGAAGAAAATTAATTTTTGCTAAGTATTATTAAGTAAGTTAAGTTAGATTCTGTTAAGTTTGAATTAGATTTAAGTGATTTTACATGATTTGCAAATAAGTCTGTTAAGTTAAATATTTTAAGTGCTTTAAATGCATACTACTTTTAAACCACTCCAAATTAACAAAGGACTGAGAATCACCCAGTTGATGCCATTTGAGCCAAATGACTAAAGGATTACAAACTGAAAACTGACTTTGAACATTTCTGGGAAGCTCATGAAAAAAGGTGGATGTGATAACTTCAAGGACAGAAAGAATCATTTTCAGGCTTTTTCACCTTCTCTCCAGGTTCGCATGAATGAAAACAGTTAACAGCTTTCTTTTCTTAGTCCAATTACCACCTGTTGTGCAATGCCTGATAAGGCCTTAACAGCCGTTGCCGGACGACCAGAGAACTGATTGACATTATTGAATCATTATCATCTTTACATATACGAGGACTGGCAAAAGAGGACTGTTTTGAATATCACAGCCTAAATTGTGCTGCTTGGGTTGCACTGTTTTGTGGGAGTTGTGATCAGTTGTTACTTTTTCATTTATGGTGCCACACCTGTAATTATAGGCACATCTGGGAACATAATTGGGAGCAGGCACTACGGAATTAGACAAGGCTAAACACTGCTTCATCTTCAGACCTTTATAAATCTCATGAGCAAAAATCTTAGCTTATTATCGATGGGAGGTACAGTGTATTTTGAAAAAGGTTAAAGATCAAAGTACATCATATATAGCCTCAATAAGGTGTAGAAAACTGGTGCCTTTAACACAACATTCTGTTGTAGGCCCTATAAGAACAGATCCCAATCAAGCATTAGATAATTGCAGTTCAGCTGTGATTACTCTAAATTTCCAAAGGATGAGTCAACATAAACAGACATGGGCTGCTCTGGATTCATCTCTAAGTCTGGAAATAGTGTCTAAACAGCTTTATAACCAGTGTAAAGGCTCTACTATTATGACACCTAGGAAATTACCCACAGGGATATTTTTGGTTTGTGGGGATAGAGCCTGGAATGGAATACCAGCCCAGGCGCAGGGTGGATCTTGTTATTTAAGCAAGTCATCATTTTTCCACCTCTGAGCACAGGTTCTGATCCTTCTCCACAAGATCACATTTCTGACACTAAGTGTCCTGTTTATCCTCAGGCCTTTGGTGCAGCTGAGCCCTGGCAGAGCGGGGTCTGCACTTCTCTTGACATCTGGTAATGCCTCCTCCACGAGAGTTTCTATGAGGAAAAACTTCACCATTATCTTACCTTGTTGCATTCAAAAAATAGTAAGATAATAGAAAAAACCTGCAAACTAACCTCCTTTCTTAAAAAGAAAAAACGGGGGAAATGTCGGAGAATGACTTAAAGAAAAGGCCATGAGACATAAAATTGAGAGAAAAGTATAAGGGAAAAGTAAGGCCGTTTCTAACAGTTCTCAGCCTTCTGACTTGTATAAACAATTAGACTCTCTCAGGCATCATTCTATAAACAATAAAGTTCTCAGCTTGTCTTCCCATGGCAAGCAGAACACCGTCCTTGGGAAGGCCTGTTATCCTGAGAACAGATGTAGAGGTTTTGGGAACACTAGTTTCTGTTTTAGTTTCTGGTTTCTGTTTTGGTTTCTGTCTTTAATAAACAATTGTAGGTATTCTAAAACAAAGGGAGTGGTTAGAAATTTCTCTGTTAGCCTATCATGACATTGGATTACAGAATATTCATGGCGTTCGTTAGCACTGTTATTTAAGGTGATTGATTGATCAATAAAGTCGGACTTCGATGCATTACCAGGATGGTCGCTCTCCCCTTCACTTCAATAGGAAAAGACCTCTAAGTTCATAAAATCAAATTGCTAACCCAGCACTGCCATCTTCACTACTCAAGCATGTCCCCAAGTGCTACAATTAATGAAGGTTAGAGGAACTGGAATACTTTAGCTATATCCCTGATGTGCTAACCAGCACATCAGATCGAAACTGTCCTAGTTCACCTTAAATCCAGACTGCTCCATCCTTGTCAGTACTTCTTGTCAGAGTGACTAGATGTCACAACCAAGATGCTGTCCATGTAACCAGTCACTCTTCCCTTGCTGTACATCTCTCTGTTAGGAATGGGCCGCACCAAATTCTTACCCCAGCTCTCTCCCTCTCCTGCAGTCCCTTTCTTTTGCAGCCCTTGCATTACTGCATGCAGTCTTACAATCCCCTTCCCCACCATCCTGATCATCTCCTCTACACAGTGTGCACAAGCATGCCCGTACCCAAAGTTCAGATCCCAGACTGATAATCTTTCCCTGATCCCTGGGCACATGTCCCTGCTCTGTACAGCAGGGCCACAGGTCGCTGCTTCATTCCTCTGCTCTGATACCCAGCTGAACACACACACACACACACATTGCCACACATACAGAGGCCGTGTCTTGGGTATTTGGCCAGCATGTTCCCTCATTGTCAGCTGTTAAGATGCCGTCTGTTCCCTGTGGATGCTGTCAGTTCCCTATGGATGCTGGCTGTTCCCTAGGGATGGAATACTGTCTGTACCCTGTGGATGGGATGCTGGTTGTTCCCTATGGATGCTGTCAGTTCCCTATGGACGCTGTCTGCTCCGTTTCCCTCGGCTCGGGAGGCCCCTCTTGCTGCCGCCAGATGGCGCCGGAGCGCCGCGGGAGCCGCCAGGGGCCAGGGACGCGCTCCTGGCGCGAGCACCCTCTGGCTCGGCGGGGAGATGGGAATTTTACCATGGCGCGGGCCGTTCCGACCTCGGCATCCCACCCACAGCAATGCCAGAGTAAGGCTAAAGATTTCCGGCGCTCCGGAGGCCGAGCCCCGCAAGGCAGCGCCGGCGGCGGTGCCCGGCCGAGGCCGCGGTGTGGCCGCAGCTGTCAGGCGCTCGGCGCCGCTCAGGAACAGCCGGTGAAACAAAGCGCAGTAAGTCATTTTAAAGTTCCCTTTGCGGCACCCAACAGGCTGGTGAGCGGTGTCAGTGCTCGGCGAGCAGGGGCAGGCAGCAGCACGGCCCGGAGCTGTCCCACCGCCTTCCTGCCCGACACCGACAGTCCGGCCAGGACAGGAAAAGGGGAAAAGTTGGAGGCTTAAGAGCAGGTTTTATGGTTGGAGGAGGATCTCGCCCGTGCGAACAGAGAGAGGCGGAGGGTCCCCCGAGGTGCAATGGCGATGGATGCATCGGGAAGAATATGGCCAGCAGGGCGAAAGAGGGGATCCTCCCCACGACTCAGCCCCGTTGAGGCCACATCTGGAGCGCTGTGTCCCCTTCTGGGCTCCTCAGTACAAGTTGTTACTGGAGAGGGTCCAGTTGAGGACCCTCTAAGGATAATCAAGGATCTGGAGCATCTCTCTTATGAGGAGAGACTCCAGGAGCTGGGCCTGTTTAGTCTAGAGAGGAGAAGGCTGGGTGGAAATCTCGTCAATGCATATAAATGCATCACCAAGGCAGGTGGCAAGGGGATGGTGCCGGGCTCTTTTCAGTGGTGCCCAGTGACAGGACGAGGAGCAATAGCCATAAACTAAAACACAAGTTGCACCTCAACATGAGGAAGAACTTTCCTTGGAGGATGGGCAGAGCTACCCTGGCAGGTCATAGAGCCTTCCTCTCTGGAGAGATTCCAAACTCACCTGGACGCGTTCCTGTGTCACCTGCTCTAGATGACCGTGCTTTGGCAAGGGAGGTTGGACCGGATCATCTCCAGAGGTCCCTTCCGTCCCTTACCGTTCTGCGATCCAGAGGCGTTCCGGCGCCCCGAGAAGGGGGCGGTGGCGGGCGCTGGGGCCGCCCCTGTCCCGCCCACTGCGGCCCGCCCAGGGCCCGCCCGGGGCCGGCTCCGCAGCGGCGGCCGGAGCTGCAGCCGCCGCCCGCCCGTCGCAGCGCCGGCGCTGCCGCGGTGCCCGGCAGGGAAGATGGCGCCGTCCCACGTCCTCAAGTGCTGCCAGAAGGTGCTGGCCTGGGTGCCCGTGGCCTTCATCGCCCTGGTCGTGGCCTGGTCCTACTACGCCTACGTGGTGGAGCTGTGTGTGTGTGAGTGGACCGGGAGGGTCGCGGGCGCCGGGAGCTGCCGGCCGGGCGGGCAGGACCCTCCGCCGGCCGCCTCCTCCCCTGCGCTCCGGCGGGCTCGCTTGTCCCTGCGCCCGCCTCAGGCTTTCGCTCGGGCGGCGGAAGGAAACCCTGCCTCGGGCGCTCCCTCTGAGCCGGCTTTACCTGTTGTCCTCCCGCCCTCAGGTGCCTCCTGGTGGCGGGGTCCCGGCCCGGGGCCGCCTGTGGAGGTTCCGGGGAGAGGAGGAGGCCCAGGGTGCTCAGTCTGGGGACAGGGACTTCTCGAGAGCTCAGCCCCTCGTGTCTCCTCGTGAGGAGTTTCCCCTCTATTTTACTGTTGTTCATCCGTCTGATGTATCAAATAACTCCTTAAGGGTGTATAGGGGGTTCCCCTCCCTCCTTTTCATTCAGAAGCCCGGTGCCGGTGAAGCATTATGAGGCTGGAAACATCCAACTTAAGCGGGCTGGGGAAAGGATTTAGGTCTTAGGGGGTTTTGTCAGGCCGTATCCAGGCTTTCTGGACAAGGGCTCGTCTTTATATAAATCTGACTTGCAGCCGATGTCGATCAGGGCGATATTTACCCTTTGCTGTCTTCAGGAGGAAAGTTCCGTTCGGGAGGATGTTGGCTTTCCCTGGGCAGGGTAAATGGAGGGGAACTGTGGTGTGCAGTATTCATCAGGATTGCTGAAACTTGGAAGCAGCATAGGAAAACTAAGGAACGGGTTATTGAGCGTTTGGCGTGTTTAAGTAAGGAAGCTGAAATGAGAAAGAACCTCGAAAGTACTAAGAACTATTTTAGGCTACATATAGGTCTGTCTAGTGTCTGTAGGTCCTGGTACTACTTCTTATTTGTGTAAACTACATGCTTTGATATCCCTAGCTAGGAAAAAAAATGTTTGCATGTACTTTGTATCTGGGTAAACTGGTCTATACAGCCTTCCATTAACAATAATCACTTTGGTTTTTTCTGTGATGACTTAGTATTTTGGATAACTTTTCTGTATGCTGATGTTGTTTCTCAGCCTTTTGTATTTGGAGATCTAGACTGGAGCATGGACCACTGTCACAAATGTTATTTGAACTTCCAATAGTAGAGACATAGTTGTAAAATAGTGCTTGTTGGGGTACTAAGTGAAATGTTGATATGAGATACACTGACATATTTGCAACTATCCAAATTTGCCAAATAACTATTGTGCAGTTGTCTATGTGAATAAATAGGTTTTCTCGGAAATCATGCTTAAAAGTATAAACATTTGAAAACAAATTTGAGTCAGTCTACTGGAGGTGTGAGCATGGGTAGCTGTAACAGTAGTCCTGAAAGGGGCTGTGGGAGGTTATAGACTCACATTTTACAAGTTTTCTGTACCCACTACAGTCTGATTAGTATGACAAAAGGCAGATTAGGGCTATTTTTAAACAAAGAACAAAAACTCAGGGATTAAGAGGCTTGCCTAGGGTCGAACAGGTGGTCTCTGCTTGAATTGGGAACAGAGCCTCAAGCTCTGAGTCCCAGCTTTGTGTCTTGATCACAGAATGGGTCAGGACTAGGTGCTGTGAATGATTTGTCTATCATGAACATAGAGAAGCTGAAAAGAGCTCTTCTGAGTTCATTAAGGTTTCACTTGTGTGAAAATTGTTGAGAAGATTGGCTCCTGTTGAAGCAAGAGCTTCTGTGTCTCTAAGTCTTCTGGTTTCTAAAAGACTGGCACTTTTTGCTCACAAATCACTCTATTAATGTCTGTGCATATAGGCTTTTAAGAAAAAGTGTCATTTAATGAGCAAAATATTTACTGACTTCTGTTGCTGCCACTGAATTTTTCAGTTGTTACTTGTCTAAATCATGGCCGATGACCAAGGATTTTATTTGTCTTGTGAGTTTTTTTCTGTTGAGAGTTTGGAGGGTTTTGGTTTTTGTTGTTTATTTTTAATCTCTGTTGAATTTTGTTTACACTCCTGAGAAAAAGTCATCTCACCAAGTGAGAGGAAGGAGATTTTGTGTTTGGGTCCTTTTGGCATTGTGGATTTTTTCCTTTGCGTGGTTTTACTCTGCGGTTGAGTTCAAACCAGGATTGAGAGGATTTAGAGCAAAATACAAGGTTTTCTGTTTGTCTTGGCAGGTAGTTTTTCTTTCTGCTGGTGTTCCCTATGTTCTGTTTGTTTTGGGAAGGACAGCACTGTGTGCTAGAGGAAGAGCAAGGATGTGCCTCCAGCACACAGCTGATGCATGAGGCAACGCTGGCCTTTGCCGGTGCAGAAGCAGGGATATGGCTTTGGTGAGAGGCTGATCTGTGCCTGCTAAGGGAAAGAGAGATGGAGGAAGGGAAGCTTTAGAAATGAGGAGACATAATAGAAAATTTCAAGTAAATACTGGGTAAAAGAGAAATTGAAACCCCACAGCCATCAGTGTTTTTTCAAAGTTTATTCTAAAAAAAAATCAGTAGCTATTCAGATGTGATAGTAACAAGGAAACAGGAAGAGGGAAATCCTGTATTTTCCCAATTATTACTTCTTCCTGGTTTGGTTGTTTGTTTTTTTTTCCTTGTAGTCCTTGGTCATTTATTAAAGGTTGAACATATATTCAGTTAATAGATCAAGTGGGAAGCCAGGCTTAGTGTAGCATCCTAAAGGAGAAGATGGTGAAGTTGGGGCTGCTGCTTTCGTCACCTCACCCTTTTCCTTTCAGTTTTGCTTCTCTGTGCTGCTTGCCCCACCCTCCTCTGATGGGGTGCTCACATATTGCTCAATGTGGTGTCTGATGGACTCAGGCTTCTCTATAACTCACTCCTAGTATGTATTTACTGGATTATGCCTCTTCTGTAACCCTAAATTATATTACTTACACACTGGCTGTGAACACCAAGGAGGACTGGTGTGGATAAGATGAAAGGAGGCTCATGAGCTTGTCTATTGTTTTCCTCCCATGGGAACTGCCAGTATCATTCTGTCTCTCTGAAGATGTTGAACACGGGCCTGTTTTGACCACTATTGCTGTGTAGTTGTGATCCATCAAGTAAATTAGCTGTTAAGCTAATTGGAAAGGTGAAAACAGCCAAATGTGTGTAAGTTGAGGGAATGTCAGCATAGTGTAAAAATCCAGTGCATATGTGTAACTGAAGGAACTACAAAAGACTGAAGACAGGTCTCAGAGGGCTTTTTAAAATGTTTTGAAGTAGAAAACGCTGACTGAACACTTTCTAACTAGATTATTTCTTCTTTTCACACGTAACTTGCCCAGAGCTCTGTTTGCAAGAAAACACACCTAGCAGTGCTTAAAGGATGTTGTAAAATAGCTTTTTGTTAGTTTGAAACCATTTCATGTGTTCCTGCATCTTATCAAAACATGTTTTGCTTTTAACATCATTGCTTTGGTAAACAATGGCTATATTATGCTGCTGCTGAATTGGACCAATTGTGTTTGCTTACCACATCCCTCAGATGCTCAGAAAGAGTGAAATGCTTCTCTCGTGGTTTGCTTTCATTTATGACTGGCTTGGATCTTATTATCTATCCCAAACGTTTTTGTAGGTGGTGGGCTGTAGTGCAGATTGGTTTGAGGGTGGTCACAAGACACTGTTTTGCCACGTGTAGTTGGTGCGTGAAGTCAGCTCATTTCTTACAGGCAGCCCTTCTGCTAAAAAACACTTCCAGACTTTGGCAGTGCAGTCTTGCACTGAGAAAAAGAGGAGTTTGTTAACTTTGAGTTGTCTGCAGCCCCTAACTAAAGTGTTATGACTGGAGTTACTAAAAAGAAACAAAACGGCAAAAAATCCTGATCAGGTTAGCTTTTTACTTCTATACTGAGGACTGCATTTTCTGAAAATCACAGTCCTGACTCTTCTCTTGAGCCAGGAGTTTTCAGGATAATGACTTTTTTACATGTTTAGTAGGCTTGTGAATGAATGAGTGTTTTCATGCCTCAGGGTCTGCAAAGTATGGAAAACTCTGATTTTGAAAGCTATGGGAGAAACTAGTTGTGTATTCTTTTCATCACATCTAGTTGCAGAAGGTTTGCTTTTTTTGATACAGTGTAATGTCTAGGGTGTCTGAAATCCTGGCAAACAAAGAAGTTTGTACTTTAGAATGCATAACTTCGTGTTAGTAGTACAAATTATACTCCTTGCCGTTCCAGGAGACTGCAATGTCTCTTGTCAGTAGGGAGCCAGCTCTGATTTCCCCAAAGCACGGCCCTTATGAGAAGCACATGGTGATCCCTTGTAACACTCCCCATCTGAAGAGTCTGTTGCATAAACAGAGAGAAGGTAATTCCATCTGCCTCCTCTGAAAGAAATCTCTACTGAAAATGCTAATGCCATATCTCTCAGGCAATGGCAAGGTGATACCAACAGCAGTTCTGATTTCAACCTACAGAAAAGCTGAAGTATCAGCACTGGGGTACAACGTTTGCATGTTAAGCATGTAAAAGGCATTCCCGTAGGAAAAGAGGGTCACCTGTCAAGAAAAGGAAAGCAAATTAAACAGGTTAGATCATTGGTTAGTTAACTATGTTTACGTGCCTCTCATGAATTTGAAAATACAGAAATTGAACCACTCTGCATACACTTAATTTTGTTGTAATCTCTCAGCATAAGCATGCATATTATCATCTTAAATGAGAACCTTTTCTGTTATTATAATTAGAATTCCTGTTGAGGTGGTCAGACTGGATACAGATTATTGGAAAACTAAATGCTCAGCCGAGGAGGAAGATTATCTTCTATGGTGCCTTGCACTGTATTGGTCATACTAGTTTATAGGGACAGGTGGACATGTGCCTTTTACATTAAAATGCAATCTGCTCGCTTGGCAGTCCTCTAATGAAAAAATTGTTCCAAGTGCAACAGCCTGGTTTCTTGAAGAGTTATCTTGTATCTGCTCTTTGTTCTGCCATCAGAAGGACTCCATCCCTCTTCTCCCTCCCAGCCCTCTATCTGCAGTGCCCGCCCCAGCCCCTGCATCTGCTAAACCATTCCTGACAGCTCTG